TTATCATTGAATCAACTGCCTCTAAAATGTACTTCGTCTCCAAGGTCGACCAAGGACCAAGAAATTCTTTACTTTAGTCAAGTTATAATAATTATCATCGTAATTATCATTGAATCAACTGCCTCTAAAATGTACTTCGTCTCCAAGGTCGTGAATTAAGGACCAAAAAATTCTTTACTTCAGTCAAGTCATAATAATTATCATCGTAATTATCATTAAATCAACTGCCTCTAAAATGTACTTCGTCTCCAAGGTCGACCATGGACCAAGAAATTCTTTACTTCAGTCAAGTTATAATAATTATCATCATAATTATCATTGAATCAACTGCCTCTAAAATGTACTTCGTCTCCAAGGTGGACCAAGGACCAAGAAATTCTTTACAACAGTCAAGTTATAATAATTATCATCGTTTTCTACAATTTGAAAATACATTGAATCAACTGCCTGTAAAATGTACTTCGTCTCCAAGGTCGTGAATTGACCAAGAAATTCTTTACTTCAGTCAAGTTATAATAATTATCATCGTAATTATCATTGAATCAACTGCCTCTAAAATGTACTTCGTCTCCAAGGTCGACCAAGGACCAAGAAATTCTTTACTTCAGTCAAGTTATAATAATTATCATCGTAATTATCATTGAATCAACTGCCTCTAAAATGTACTTCGTCTCCAAGGTCGTGAATTAAGGACCAAGAAATTCTTTACTTCAGTCAAGTTATAATAATTATCATCGTAATTATCATTGAATCAACTGCCTCTAAAATGTACTTTGTCTCCAAGGTCGACCACGGACCAAGAAATTCTTTACAACAGTCAAGTTATGATAATTATCTAATTATGATGATAATTATATTAAAGTTTCTTTCAGTCAAGTTATGATAATTATCATCGTAATTATCATTGAATCAACTGCCTCTAAAATATACTTCGTCTCCGAAGTCGACCAAGGACCAAGAAATTCTTTACTTCAGTCAAGTTATAATAATTATCATCATAATTATCATTGAATCAACTGCCTCTAAAATGTACTTCGTCTCCAAGGTCGACCAAGGACCAAGAAATTCTTTACTTCAGTCAAGTTATAATAATTATCATCGTTTTCTACAATTTGAAAATACATTGAATCAACTGCCTGTAAAATGTACTTCGTCTCCAAGGTCGTGAATTGACCAAGAAATTCTTTACTTCAGTCAATTTATAATAATTATCATCGTAATTCTCATTGAATCAACTGCCTCTAAAATGTACTTCGTCTCCAAGGTCGACCAAGGACCAAGAAATTCTTTACTTCAGTCAAGTTATAATAATTATCATCGTAATTATCATTGAATCAACTGCCTCTAAAATGTACTTCGTCTCCAAGGTCGTGAATTAAGGACCAAGAAATTCTTTACTTCAGTCAAGTTATAATAATTATCATCGTAATTATCATTGAATCAACTGCCTCCAAAATGTACTTCGTCTCCAAGGTCGACCAAGGACCAAGAAATTCTTTACTTCAGTCAAGTTATAATAATTATCATCGTTTTCTACAATTTGAAAATACATTGAATCAACTGCCTGTAAAATGTACTTCGTCTCCAAGGTCGTGAATTGACCAAGAAATTCTTTACTTCAGTCAAGTTATAATAATTATCATCGTAATTATCATTGAATCAATAGCCTTTAAAATGTACTTCGTTCCAAGGTCAACCAAGGACCAAGAAATTCTTTACTTCAGTCAAGTTATAATAATTATCATCGTTTTCTACAATTTGAAAATACATTGAATCAACTGCCTGTAAAATGTACTTCGTCTCCAAGGTCGTGAATTGACCAAGAAATTCTTTACTTCAGTCAAGTTATAATAATTATCATCGTAATTATCATTGAATCAACTGCCTCTAAAATGTACTTCGTCTCCAAGGTCGACCAAGGACCAAGAAATTCTTTACTTCAGTCAAGTTATAATAATTATCATCATAATTATCATTGAATCAACTGCCTCTAAAATGTACTTCGTCTCCAAGGTCGTAAATTAAGGACCAAGAAATTCTTTACTTCAGTCAAGTTATAATAATTATCATCGTAATTAGCATTGAATCAACTGCCTCTAAAATGTACTTCGTCTCCAAGGTCGTGAATTGACCAAGAAATTCTTTACTTCAGTCAAGTTATAATAATTATCATCGTAATTATCATTGAATCAACTGCCTCTAAAATGTACTTCGTCTCCAAGGTCGACCAAAGACCAAGAAATTCTTTACTTCAGTCAAGTTATAATAATTATCATCGTAATTATCATTGAATCAACTGCCTCTAAAATGTACTTCGTCTCCAAGGTCGACCAAGGACCAAGAAATTCTTTACTTCAGTCAAGTTATAATAATTATCATCGTAATTATCATTGAATCAACTGCCTCTAAAATGGACTTCGTCTCCAAGGTCGTGAATTAAGGGCCAAGAAATTCTTTACTTCAGTCAAGTTATAATAATTATTGGTATAAAGAAACACTGGATGGATTATGAGTAAATATATTTTATACGATGTTTACAGTTCAGCGGTATATGTACAAGAGAGCGAATAATGTATGTGCAAGTATTACGAGGAAGTCATGTCAAAACGTGAACATTGCGTCTTGCATGACGTCGCCAACATAACAATAACGAGTCGTCCTGACAGTACGAACGACGCGCGCGAAGTTTAAATACACAGTTAGAACTATGAATAATTCTGTCCATGCTCCGGCACGATGCAAGCATCACATATTAAACAGCTAAAACAGAATTATTCTTACAAATATATGAAGTTTACAAAATTACATATCGACTTAATATTAATAAATGAAAAGTATAACAAGTGACAGTATCTTATATTTTGAACGATAAACAATGGACAATGAACAATGGACTGTATTAATGAAAGATGAACAGAGAAATAAATATTTAACTTAATGAGAATAATACTAAATAAATGAACATATAATAACAAGAAACATATTGACATTCTAATCCTAAATAATTTGAACAACAGGTAATCAATATATCATAAGTATGAGGATAATTATTCTAATTAATTAAGTGGTATAACTAAGTTCAGTAAAACAAGAAGAATATTTAAATTATAATGACAATGATTAATCTCAACAATTGACATAAAATATATAATATAGAATACAAGAACTAATACAAATATCATGGAATTATATAACGACAAGGAAAAAACAAATAACTTAAGCTACTGGCATGGTAATGGTACAATTTTTGTGATTGGCCTGGTGTATACGCCACTGCTAGTTTTAATGGACACAACTCTTACTTTGCCATCCTTTCCTGGTTTGGTATCCACCACTCTAGCAATTGGCCACTGTAATGGAGGTACATTGTCTTCCTTTAACAAAACAATATCATCTATGTTGATGTTTGGTTGAGGTTGACTCCATTTTGCCCTCTTTTGCAAGTTTGACAAATACTGCTTTGACCAGATTGCCCAAAATTGGTTGCGCATGCTTGCCATTTGCTGATGCAATTTAATTGTTTTAACGTTGGTGTCAATGAATGGCTCTGGAAGAGCTGTTAACGCACTTCCGATAATGAAGTGCCCTGGACTGATATAGGCAGCATCAGTGCTATCATCCGTGAGGGCAAGGTTTGGTCTGGAGTTAAGCACAGCTTCAATTTGTGTCAAAACTGTCATGTACTCCTCATAGGTGAGACAATATGATCCTATTATTCTCCGGATATGATGTTTCATTACTTTGATAGAACCTTCCCATAATCCTCCGAAATGAGGAGCGTGAGAAGGTGTGAATTGCCAGGTTATTCCTAACCGAGATGACGCGGAAATCAATTCGTTTTTTGACTTCTCGGACATAAATAGTTTGGCTAATTGTTTTAATTCCGTTTTTGCGCCGACAAAGTTTCTCCCATTGTCACTATGGATTACCAAACAACAACCTCGTCTCGCAATAAAACGGCGTAAAGCAGCTAAGAAGGCTTCAGTTGACAGACTGGAAACCAATTCAATGTGAATAGCCTTAGTGGCCATACAAACAAATAAAGAAATGTACGCTTTCGTACGTTGAGCCTTTCTCAATCTACTCGATTGTAGCAACACCCGACCGGCAAAGTCGACACCTACAACTTGAAATGGTCGGTATGCAGTAACCCTATCCTTGGGCAAACTGCCCATTAGCTGTTCTGCCGAAGTTGCCCTAAATCTGGCATACTTTACACATTGGTGTATCACTTGCTTTATTGTGTTACGACCGTCTATAGGCCAATATTTAAGTCTGATGTTTGCTAGAACAGTCTGAGTACCTGCATGCAACAATCTTTCATGCTCAAACCTAACAAACATATCAATAACAACATTGCCTTTAGGTAGAATTACTGGGTGTTTTTGGTCGTAGGGTATGTCGGCATTCTCCAATCTCCCACCCACTCGAAGTAAGTCTCCAGCATCCACGAAAGGATTTAAAGCCTTCAGCTTACCAAGAGATGCATTGGATTGCTTACCTAACTTCAACTGTTCACCTATATTACCAAAAACATCCCTCTGAACCATATAAAAGATACGCTTCGTCGCTGTGTTTAATTCAGAGACCGAAAGTAAACCTCTTTGTTTGAGACGAATAATGTTGATCCATCGGATGCAGAACGCCACCACCCTAACTAGTTTGCTGAACCGAGAACACTTAGCCACAAGATCTTCTAGCAATTCATTCCTAGTGTTGCCGACAGTTGTTGCTAGCACTTTCCGTTCTGGAATAGCTTCTTTAACATCACCAGCAAACCTGTTAGGCCAATTACTAGAATCTTGTAGCAGCCAAGCAGGCCCGTGCCACCATAGATTGCAGTCTATTAACTCTAATGGCGTCTTTACACCCCTAGATACAATGTCTGCAGCATTTTCTTTACTACAGACGTGTCTCCAAGCAATGCCTGGCGTAAGATCAAGAATTTCCGCCACTCTATTGCTAACAAACATTTTCAATAGAGACGGATCTGTCTTTAACTACGCCAATACAATGCTTGAGTCACACCATAGAAACGACTCCAAAATTGGGATTTTTGTGATCGTCATCATCTGCCTAAATAACTTTGCTAAGAGCAAAGCCGCAGATAATTCTAGCCGAGGCAACGTCACATTTTTTAATGGGGCTACTTGCGATTTTGAACAAAGTAACCTTGATGACAAAGTGCCATCTGCGTATGTTGCCCGTAGATAAATGCAGGCACCATATGCATACAATAAAGCGTCTGAGAATCCGTGACATTGAATAGTCACCGGAATCGACTTAAAAATGTTTCGAGGAATACTGAGATTCTCTAGATCAGAGACATGAACCTTAAAAAGATTCCACCTATCTTGTAACTCTCGTGACAAAGTCTCATCCCAACCAAGGTTTTGCCTCCACAACTCCTGCATTATCAACTTTGCAGTTACAGATATTGGAGATATGAGCCCAATTGGGTCATAAATCTGTGCAATTGTTGATAATACGGATCGTTTTGTGTCAACACCCTGTCTAATGTCTGCTTCTGAAACCTTAATATGTGCTATTTTAAAAATATCCTGTGAAGGATTCCACGCAAGCCCTAAGGTTTTAACAGTATCTGCTTCAGAAAACAAGGCCATAGCAGAGCTTTGACTTTCCTTTGGGATAGTTTGTAAAACTTTACGACAGTTACTTGACCATTTATGTAAGGAGAACCCCCCTTCATTTAACAACTGTACAACTTCCCTTTGAATCTTAACCAACTCATCCGCAGTATCAGCACCTGTGATGATATCATCAACATAGCAGTCCGTATCTAACACTTGTGCTGCCTGTGAAAATGTTGACGCATAATTTTGCGCCAGCATCTTCAAACAGCGCATTGCCAGGTACGGAGCACTAGCTGTGCCATATGTTACCGTGGTGAGTTTGAAAATCTTCAAGGTTTCCTGGGGCGACTCCCTCCATAAGAGCAACTGATATAACTGATCTGTATCCTTAACCTTTATTTGGCGATACATTTTCACAATGTCTGCCACAAAAACAAACTGATGGCACCTAAATCGAACCAAGATAGAAAACAAATCCTGCTGCAATTTAGGGCCCGTGTGAAGAATATTATTCAATGAGACACCAGAGGAAGATTTCGCCGAAGCATCAAAAACTACTCTAATCTTATTGAAGTTATTATCCTTCACAACAGGGTGATGTGGCAAGAAATATAAATTATTTTGAATCACTTCATCCTGAGTAAGTGAGATCTGCTCAGCGTGCCCTAGTTCAATGTATTCATTCACAAACCGTGAATATGCTGCAAACATGATACTATCCTTAGAAAAACGCCTCTCTAAGTTCAAAAACCTGTGTTTTGCACCTAAATACGATGATCCTAGTTTATCCATTTTACCATCTACAAAAGGGAGAGCTACTTCAAACTGACCATTTTCAAGCCGTGAAACATTAGAGAGAAAATGATCCTCACATAACTTGTCAGACCCGGTCATTGTATAGTTAGAGGATACCTCCTCCAACTGCCAAAACCTGGTCAGACTGTTATGCAGATCTTCATTAGAAATAAATCCAACATGCACATTTTCCTGAGTTTTTGAAGTATATACCCCTGAGATCAGCCAACCAAAGCAGCTCTTTCTTAGAATAGGTAGGTGGTTCCCTAAACGAATGCAACCTTGCTGTAGCACTTCGAAATATAACTCCACCCCTATCAACATGTCAACTGACCCTGGAACATTAAACATTGGGTCCGCTAAATCAACATGATCTGGAATCTTCCAGTTATCAAAATCTATAAACGCAGAAGGCAGAGACTGGGTGATCCTGTCAACAGCTACAAAATTCATAGTACGAGCAAAGGACCCTAATCTAGATCTTATTGTCAACTTGACAGCCTTGTCACACAAAACAGTCTGCCCCTGTAACATGCTCAATTTATGCAGAGATGAATTAACCGGGCATTTCAATTTTGCTAACAACGAAGAAGTTATTAAGTTGATTTGTGACCCACTGTCCAACAACGCTCGCACCTTATGTTGGGTTCCGTCGGTGTCCATAACAATGAGAGAAACCGTAGATAATAATGTTTGCATCCCCGTATTATTTGCCATGCATACTGTGCTACTTGAAGTGCTGGGCTCATTGGCTCAGGTTCTTCATGTAGCAAAGTATTATGCGACTCTTTGTACTTCGAACAATCATATCTAAATTTACATTTAGCCACATTATGTCGAGAAGCCAAACAACGAGAGCAAATCGAATTTTTATTAATAAAAAACTTACGTGCCTTTACATCTATTGACTTAAAAGTAGAGCATTTATACAGCACATGGTCCTCAATCTTGCAATAACTACACAGTTGTGTAGGTTTCTTAACAATTGTATGAACAGACTTGGTGGTTGGTTTGCTGTCTGAGCTACACGAATTCTTCAAGGCTGTTACCCGGAGTTCAAGAAATGTGAAGAACTCCACTAAAGAAGGTAACTGCCCTGACGCCCGAGACAGATTCCAAGCCACTTTTGTCCCACTGTCAAGCTTCCTACACAGCATATGTAATAAGATAATGTCCCAATGTGCTGCAGGCTCAAAGAAGGCTTTCAATGACTGAATTTGTTGTCTTGCACTATTTAAAAAAGCTCTCAACCTCTCATGACTGCCCTTTTGTATTACAGGTATGCTATCAATGCTCTGCAAATGAGCATTGACAATTAAAAATTGATTATTGTAAGTTTTAATTACAAGATCATATGCTACTGCATAATTTTCATTTGTGACACTTATACTAGATATTAATTCAGAAGCTGATAATGTGAGAGCACCTTTCAAATAGTGCAATTTCTGGACAGGCGCTAATTTTGAATTGTTATGTATCAGTGAATTAAATATATCAATAAAGGCCGTCCACTCACTGTACTCCCCATTGAATTTTGGTAACACAATATCTGGCAATTTCACATCTATCACGCTACTTTTTAATTTTTCGGATTTTTGATGAGAGTCAATAATTGATTCTATCTCAGCCATCATATCAAAGTATAATTCAGAGTATTTAAGGTACTCATCAGTGTACACACCTGGAGACATGCTTTCAAGCTGCACATACACCTCATCCCAGCTGTGGATACGTTCAACAAGCCTCTGCTTCCGAACAGAGAGAGCCTTTACATTGTCGCCCTCCTGGAATCCAGTTACATATTTGTTGATGGCATCGAATAAAGCCTTAATCATTTTATAGGTGCCTTCCAATGAATCCGCATCCGCCATTATACCAGCCAGTTTTACTATACTAAATTAATATTATTACAACACGTGCTACACAATGTACAAAGAAAATAAAGAAATCTTAACACTTATTACTAAGTCAATTAATACAGGAACAAGGTTAATAAACACTTATGTGTAATGTGTAACAATAGTGAGGTTACTGCAATGCATAGAATTTTGAATGACTCACGCCCCCGTGTTTTGAATTACACGAGTCAGCGTTGATCCTAATTTTTGTCTTCCACGTGGGATCCTAGTAACACGATATCCTCCCCCACTTGTGTAGAAGCTTCTCGATTATCACTTGATCGTCGAGTTGTACAAAATGAGTGATTGTATGAATACCTTTCTTGCGCTGCGAGCTGAATCCAAACCTCAAAATTTGGAACTCCCAAATCTTTGAGTGACGACGATGATTTCAGCGTCCGAACTGCTAGCTTGATTAAGGATATTCTTGTTGCTCTGCTTTTTGTTTACGAACGACATAGACAACTTCAATGCCGCATGCGTAAACAAAACAATACACGCCGGTAATAGTACTTGTATATAAAAAAACTTTTCTCACCACAGTGTATAATAATTCTCAAAATAAAGCTTGCACTGGTAACTATCCGTGAGAATGACCAAATTATGGTATAAAGGAACACTAGATGGATTATGAGTAAATATATTTTATACGATGTCTACAGTTCAGCGGTATATGTACAAGAGAGCGAATAATGTATATGCAAGTATTACGAGGAAGTCATGTCAAAACGTGAACATTGCGTCTTGCATGACATGTCGCCAACATAACAATAACGAGTCGTCCTGACAGTACGAACGACGCGCGCGAAGTTTAAATACACAGTTAGAACTATGAATAATTCTGTCCAATTATCATCGTAATTATGATTGAATCAACTGCCTCTAAAATGTACTTCGTCTCCAAGGTCGTGAATTAAGGACCAAGAAATTCTTTACTTCAGTCAAGTTATAATAATTATCATCGTTTTCTACAATTTGAAAATACATTGAATCAACTGCCTGTAAAATGTACTTCGTCTCCAAGGTCGTGAATTGACCAAGAAATTCTTTACTTCAGTCAAGTTATAATAATTATCATCGTAATTATCATTGAATCAACTGCCTCTAAAATGTACTTCGTCTCCAAGGTCGACCAAGGACCAAAAAATTCTTTACTTCAGTCAAGTTATAATAATTATCATCGTTTTCTACAATTTGAAAATACATTGAATCAACTGCCTGTAAAATGTACTTCGTCTCCAAGGTCGTGAATTGACCAAGAAATTCTTTACTTCAGTCAAGTTATAATAATTATCATCGTAATTATCATTGAATCAATAGCCTTTAAAATGTACTTCGTCTCCAAGGTCGACCAAGGACCAAGAAATTCTTTACTTCAGTCAAGTTATAATAATTATCATCGTAATTATCATTGAATCAACTGCCTCTAAAATGTACTTCGTCTCCAAGGTCGACCAAGGACCAATAAATTCTTTACTTCAGTCAAGTTGTAATAATTATCATCGTTTTCTACAATTTGAAAATACATTGAATCAACTGCCTGTAAAATGTACTTCGTCTCCAAGGTCGTGAATTGACCAAGAAATTCTTTACTTCAGTCAAGTTATAATAATTATCATCGTTTTCTACAATTTGAAAATACCTTGAATCAACTGTCTGTAAAATGTACTTCGTCTCCAAGGTCGTGAATTGACCAAGAAATTCTTTACTTCAGTCAAGTTATAATAATTATCATCGTAATTATCATTGAATCAACTGCCTCTAAAATGTACTTCGTCTCCAAGTTCGACCAAGGACCAAGAAATTTTTTACTTCAGTCAAGTTATAATAATTATCATCGTAATTATCATTGAATCAACTGCCTCTAAAATGTACTTCGTCTCCAAGGTCGTGAATTAAGGACCAAGAAATTCTTTACTTCAGTCAAGTTATAATAATTATCATCGTAATTATCATTGAATCAACTGACTCTAAAATGTACTTCGTCTCCAAGGTCGACCAAGGACCAAGAAATTCTTTACTTCAGTCAAGTTATAATAATTATCATCATAATTATCATTGAATCAACTGCCTCTAAAATGTACTTCGTCTCCAAGGTCGACCAAGGACCAAGAAATTCTTTACTTCAGTCAAGTTATAATAATTATCATCGTTTTCTACAATTTGAAAGTACATTGAATCAACTGCCTGTAAAAAGTACTTCGTCTCCAAGGTCGTGAATTGACCAAGAAATTCTTTACTTCAGTCAAGTTACAATAATTATCATCGTAATTATCATTGAATCAACTGCCTCTAAAATGTACTTCGTCTCCAAGGTCGACCAAGGACCAAGAAATTCTTTACTTCAGTCAAGTTATAATAATTATCATCGTAATTATCATTGAATCAACTGCCTCTAAAATGTACTTCGTCTCCAAGGTCGTGAATTAAGGACCAAGAAATTCTTTACTTCATTCAAGTTATAATAATTATCATCGTAATTATCATTGAATCAACTGCCTCTAAAATGTACTTCGTCTTCAAGGTCGACCAAGGACCAAGAAATTCTTTACTTCAGTCAAGTTATAATAATTATCATCATAATTATCATTGAATCAACTGCTTCTAAAATGTACTTTGTCTCCAAGGTCGACCAAGGACCAAGAAATTCTTTAGTCAAGTTATAATAATTATCATCGTTTTCTACAATTTGAAAATACATTGAATCAACTGCCTGTAAAATGTACTTCGTCTCCAAGGTCGTGAATTGACCAAGAAATTCTTTACTTCAGTCAAGTTATAATAATTATCATCGTAATTATCATTGAATCAACTGCCTCTAAAATATACTTCGTCTCCAAAGTCGTGAATTAAGGACCAAGAAATTCTTTACTTCAGTCAAGTTATAATAATTATCATCGTAATTATCATTGAATCAACTGCCTCTAAAATGTACTTCGTCTCCAAGGTCGACCAAGGACCAAGAAATTCTTTACTTCAGTCAAGTTATAATAATTATCATCGTAATTATCATTGAATCAATAGCCTTTAAAATGTACTTCGTCTCCAAGGTTGACCAAGGACCAAGAAATTCTTTACTTCAGTCAAGTTATAATAATTATCATCGTAATTATCATTGAATCAACTGCCTCTTAAATGTACTTCGTCTCCAAGGTCGACCAAGGACCAAGAAATTCTTTACTTCAGTGAAGTTATAATAATTATCATCGTTTTCTACAATTTGAAAATACATTGAATCAACTGCCTGTAAAATGTATTTCGTCTCCAAGGTCGTGAATTGACCAAGAAATTCTTTACTTCAGTCAAGTTATAATAATTATCATCGTAATTATCATTGAATCAACTGCCTCTAAAATGTACTTCGTCTCCAAGGTCGACCAAGAACCAAGAAGTTCTTTACTTCAGTCAAGTTATAATAATTATCATCGTAATTATCATTGAATCAACTGCCTCTAAAATGTACTTTGTCTCCAAGGTCGACCAAGGACCAAGAAATTCTTTACTTCAGTCAAGTTATAATAATTATCATCGTTTTCTACAATTTGAAAATACATTGAATCAACTGCCTGTAAAATGTACTTCGTCTCCAAGGTCGTGAATTGACCAAGAAATTCTTTACTTCAGTCAAGTTATAAT